ATCTAGTGGCTGTTTACAAACTAGTCAGAGGGGACCAGCAGGCATTGGGGGAGTCCCTGTTCCCCCGAGCACTACCAAGAGTGACTAGAAATAACGGCCACAAGCTGGCAGAGGGTAGATGCAGACTAGACATCAGGAGGCACTACTTCACAGGGCGGCTAGGATCTGGAACCAACTTCAAAGAGAAGAGGTGCTGGCTCCTACCCTGGGGGTCTTAAAGAGGAGGCTAGATGAACACCATGCTGTGGTCGTTTGACCCCAGTACTCCTTCCTGCTATGGCAGGGTGTCAGACTTGATGATCTGCTCAGGTCCCTTCTGACCCTACTAACTATGAAACTATTACATATAATATTATATCACATTGTGGTTTGCAAATTTACATTCACCGCTTCCGTAGAACATTTTTAGTAGTAGAACTCAGTGAAATTTTTAATTAAATGTTCTATTTGCTGAAAAAAGCAGAATTTGATTTACTAAAATTGCTAGTCAAACTTGCTAGTGAATTTTTTAAATTTATTAAATTGGTTTCACTAATTCCCCCTCTCAAATCCACAACACCCCCTGAAAAGTATACAGTGACTGCTTTTTTATTTTGTAACATGGTTGTGTTCTTAAATTTGATGAAACAGTTTAAATAAAGAGCGAAACTCCCCCCCCCCCAATATGAAACTGTGTTCAGTTTAACCTACCAAATACCCCCTTACCACTGCTTCTGCTCACAGTTTGGTTAGAAAAACAAAAGTTAATTATTTGCACAGTTCTATGTAGAACACCAGTATTTTCTGAACTGGGGACTAAAAGAATGATTATATGGAATGTTGTGGTGGAAGGTCATTTCCATTTCTTATTCATGTCCATTCACTAATACATTTATTTAAATATTTAAGAAATCTGTATTTGATTTTACTTGCTTTTAAGAAGCTTTAGAGTAGTTCTTACGGAAAACTATTACTATATACTAGTACAGGGGAAGGAACACGCAGCACAATGGCAGATAGGGCAGGGCAGGGAGCAGAAAGCAGAGCATTAGAGAAGGCAGGCAGGAAGCTGAAGCAGAACCGCAGATTGGGTGGGGGAGAGGAATAGGAGTGGAACTTGGTAGATGTGGGGCTAATTTGTGGCGCACCTGCCTAGAAATTTGCCCCCCATTGCACTAGTATATTATTTCCATCTGGACCTGAAGAATAGATCATATATAGCAGTGGTTCTCAACCTTTTTATACCAGGCCCCATTTGTAAACATCGAAGGCACTGGGTCGGGACTGGCCACTCACTACCGACTTGCTGCCCCCCCCACCCCCAGGCCCTAGCCCCCCCAGTGTGTGAGGTGCGTGTGCGGGGTAGAAGGGGTTGTGTGTGTGGGGCATGGAGGGCCCCTAGCAGCCTCTTGCAGGCTGGAACTCTAGCAGCCTGCAAGGGAAAAGCCACAGTTTCCTATGTTTTTCTCCTTTAAAGGAAAATCTGTTTTTAAAGTTTGTTGATCTATTTTAAAGTTTGTTCATGGTCTTTTCATAAATTCATGACCCACAGGTTGAGAAACACTGATACCTAGTTTCCATGATATTTGCTATATTCTGAATTGGTTATTTTTAACTTTCCAGATTCGCTCTGTCAGATGAAGCATACAGATCCTTGAGGGACCAAGATAAGGATCAGTGCATTCTTATTACTGGGGAAAGTGGAGCTGGGAAAACAGGTAATATGTTACTTGGTGTTCAAAAATGAAAGGAGAAGATCTGGGAGCTGTGCAGGTTTACTGTCTTTGCATTTGCTCAGTGTTGTAAACTAGTTCCTTTATGGTATTTGCTGCTTCAGATGTAATATTGCATTGTTGTATATTCCCATCATATCAGGTCTTATATAGTGATACAAACTTCTACTTTTGTGGTGCTATGTTGAAAGAGAATATTGCAATTGTCAGAATACACTGAAGATGCATACTGAAGAAAAAACAGAAATGATACTCTCTTGCTTTGGGATGTTGCAGCCCTTGGATGCATTCGCAAAAGTCTCTCAAATCCCGGTATTTTAATACACACACACACACATGCACGCTAAATAAACAATGGTGAAGGCCTTTAAATGTAAGTAGTACCACATGCTGTGTTCAGCTACATTTAATACATTGGCATCTGTACAAGAAAACTACATTTCTTTTAGTCGGAGCTGGAATAGATTTTGCAAAATTGCTCTATTAATTTAAATGTGCTGAATGGTGGGACTAAATGGGCGTTTCATGGTTGTTCCTTTTTAAAAAAAATCTGTTTTTAGCTTAAAATAGCAGTTTAAAAACAGGGCTGCTAAAAGAAAAACAGCAGGTCCAGGACATTTAAATTTGTTTTAATACCACCTGAGAAATTTTCTCTTGAACTGAGGAAAATGTTTAGCTTTGTATGCCTGTGGCAAGCAATCATGAAAGTGGTGTAACAAGGGGAACTACCACTTAGGTCTATTATGAAGCCCTGTAGCAGGGTGCTCCATTCTGGCGGTGTAAGGGTGGATGGATTTGACACTTTGGTTTCTTGCATTCTTTTTCTCTCTGCATGTTCTGTGACTCCTGATTGAGAGGTTTTTATTTATAATCATTCTCTCCTTTATCAGTTTAGTGATATGAAAAGGCATGGTCTACTGAGTAAATTAGTATATTAAAATAAGTATTTATTAATAAAGCTCAACATCTAAAGAGAATTCATTGTAATTTTGAAAGGAGTTATTTTTTGATACAGCTTAATCTTTCATGGCTCCGCGGGGGTTATGAGTGATTAAGCAACTAGCTTGTAGTAAGGCCACAATTATTCATAGATTTTGTAACTGTAGACGCTGGGATGATTGAGTTACTTGGCTAATGTATACTTACATGATGATTGGGATGTGTTCAGTAGCCAAGGTCATCACAGGCATGTGAGGTTTCTCTTCAATGCTGAGAGTTTATTTTTAAAAAGCAAAATTTCAGGAAGTTTAGAGTGAAAGTAATGGGTAGGGATTTGTTAGAAATCCAAGTCAGAAAATGGATGTAGAAACCTCAATGATGTCACATCTCCTGACGGTTGGCAATTTTATTAAAGCTCCAGATGCTGAAGTAATGTTTTTACCCAAGAATATTGCTTTTTTTAAAACTTTAAAAAAATATCTAGTTTTTATGGTTGTAGAGAGAACCTTGAAAACACGAATCTTAAATGTGCCAAGAGCAGTAGGCTTAAAAAAAATAAGCTGCCAAATTTATTATTTTTTCAAAACTCAGAATTTTGGTAGCCAGCATCCTGGTTTTTAAATGTTTGATGAAGGCAGATTTGGAACTACGTGTCATCAATTTCTTGTTGTTTTTTTTTTTAGTTGAATATATTTCCATTTATTTACTTTTTTGTTTTGTTTTCACTACATAATTATACCAATGGCTGTTTGTAGAGTCATGCAAGAAAATGTCAAATGCTGCCAGAGATTATGTGGAGGGTAAAACACAAGGTTAGTCAAGGTTCAAATTGAATGTTTGTTCAGTTGACAGCAACTTTATTGGCTCAGTCTTGCAGATTACAGTGGAGTTCCAGCTAGCAGAAACAGCTCCTTTATTTTGTGTTAACAATTTCCAAAAACAATTTATAATTTTTTGTCACTCTGTAAACCTTTTTCCATGGGCTTGCAGTTATCCTTATGTCAATGGAAAGTGCATCCTTATCTTAAGGTAACTTATTTCCTGCTTGGCTACTTTCATCACGCATTGGTCAAGTGATTCTTCTCAAGCATTGGAATTGTTCATGGAGCTCCGTCAGCTCAGATTGCTTCAAAACACTTCAGCATGTATTACCAAGAGAATATTCTGATTTTTAAATACGGCTGCATGTCAGCTGCCTTGGCTCAGCACCATTAGTAACCTTTGACCTCTGAAGATTTTCTTTTTCTTTCAAAATTGTTGTCCAGCTTAACTGTGATGGGAAGCTCCCAATTACAAATTACATGTTCTAACGTTTCTTAATTACTTTTTCACATATATCCTTGGACTATTACGGCTAAAAGAGAATAATATTTACCATGTTTTCTTGCATACAACATGCCTTAGAATAAGGTCCGTGCCTTGTTTTTGAAAGATAGAATGAAGGAAAAAAGATATTTCTACTCAGTGGGTAACTGTATAGCAGCAACTAGGGAGCTGAGCCTGCTCATTGTTTTGATCCCTGTGGATCCTGTGTAGAGTTATTTTCAATCTTGCTTGGCAGAAAGTGGCAAAAACTGCTCTTACCATATTTCCTTGCTTTTAATACACATGCCAATTTCCAGCAGCTGTTTTTTGGGGAAAAAGGTGCGTGTTATCTGCAGGAAAATAAGATATTTCATTTTGAAATGTATGTTTACAGCACTTTGAGTATAGCCAGTTGGATTCTTTCTCCTGTTTGTGTGGCTCTTTATCGCAACAAGGCAGGGAGAAAAACAAAACCAAGTGGGATCCAAGGGACAGAGGACAGGCAGAGGGCAAGTATAGTCCCTGAAACTAGTGGTATTTGTTACACTGAGCGGTTTCCAAACGGTTGTTACTTTTGAAAAAAAATCCTTTTACTGCTTAGATTCTGTTAAGAGGGGTGTCTGTAAATTTTTCATTCTTTATATCAATTCCTTATCTGCTGTACCAAAGAACTTGGCTCCTGTAGCACTGAAGCAACCTTGGTGTGGAGTGGGGGTGGACAACCTGGGTATGAGTGCCCCAAGTGGCACATGGCATATTGGGGAGGGGACAGGCAGCAAAGGGACAGAAGATAGGGCAGGAGATTGGGCAGGAAGCACAGAACAGAAAACAGAGCAGAACATTCCTGTAGGGGAATGGGATAAGTGCCCCTTGAGGATGGTTCTGAGCTCATTTGTGGCACACCTACCAGAAAGGTTGGTCCTGTGCTGTAGAGAGTAGGCACAAGGCAACTTTCACAGTACTTCTGCCTCATCCTCGTGCCAAATGTAAACTCGTTTCCCAGAATGATTACAAATGCTTGCAGTACTACACTCAGTGCACTGGGAAGGAGAACAGAAGTCTCAGATTGAGAATCTAAAGTCTGTGGTGTACGGTAGCAGTCCTCAAATATTTAAAAGGCTGCCACAAAGAAGAGGGAAAATGCTGTTTTCTTTCATGCTGCAGAAAGCAAGATGTGGACCACTGGCTTGTTGTTATAGCAAATTAGGTTTCGATTTGATATCAGGAAAAACTTCTTCACTGTTAGAACAATGAGGCAGCAGAATAGATTGCTTAAGGAAGTTGTGGACTCCATCACTTGAGGTGTTCAAGAAGAGGTTGGGCAGTCACTGGTTGGGGTTGATCTAAGCATAGTGTGTTCTAGAGGGGTGGATTTCCCATGTTTCTGGGCTTTGCTGGCTGCTACATGGGGCTGGGAGAGAATTCTTCATCTCCTCCTTCTCCCTCCCTCCTCCTGCCACCTTCCCCTTGTGTTTTCAGGGCTGTTTTGTTTTTTTTTAAGACTTCCTCCGAAGCATTGGGTGTTGGCTTCGGCCAAGACTGGAAACTTTGACTAGGGTGTGCCAGTGCTCCTGCTGGGACTGAAACCCAGAGGTTCCTGGCTAGAAGGTCTTGGTCTGATTTGGGGTCAGGAAGGAATTTTACCCATGGTCAGATTGGTGTGGACTGTGTGGGTTTTTGCCTTCTGTAATGGGGGGTATGGCCCTTCTCCTGGGATCTCTTGAGTATATATTAATAACTACAGAAGCAGGATGTTGGCTGCTGTTTTACCTGTGACAAGTTAGGTTATGTCTTGTGTTATGTCAGGGTGGGCTGTTTAATTTTGTTAAGAGGTTAGACAGTGGGCTTGGATATGGATGGTTCTGCCTTGGTCAGGTGGTTGGACCAGGCGGCCTGGAGAGGTCCCTGCCAGCCCTGCTTCTCTATGATTCTGACTTTTCATATAGAGGCTTAGATACCATTCTGCCGAGGAATGCCTACCCAACTTTCCTGTATAGATTTAAAAAGGCATTTATTTATTCTTTTGCTTACTTGTAATTGAAATGTAATTCTGTAACTACAATTGTGTAATTGAAGTTAACATTTTTAAGTGAGACTGAGTTTTCTGTAATCATCTGGGAGTTGATTTATTAACTGTAGTTTAACAAAGGAAAAATGCTTTTCTCTGCCAGATGGCTACACTACCCATTTTATAAAATGTATTAATTTTAAGTTAAAAGGTTACACAGAAAGATTGCCCAACTCTTGCTCAGAAAAACTACTTTGTAATGACCGCTTTCTATTTTTGGTTATGATTTGGAGAAGCTTGTGGATAGGGTGGTGTCTTGATTACAATTCTCTTTGACTGTTTTCAAGTTTGCTTCACACCTATGTATGATAGAAACTGGTGGCTATGAATAAAAGCTTAGTTATCTGTATGGATATGATTTAGAGCTCTTGGCTGGCCATCATGCTCTTGAGCCTGAGCTGACGTACTGTTTTGTGGACCAGGAAGTATGGAGATTAAGTTGCACAGCAAACGCTTCTTTTTTTGGAGAACACGAAG